CGGTAATTGCTCTTGTGCGACAAATTTGCTGGACGGTGACAATAGTGTTCCATTCTTTCGGCCTAATGATAGCCACTGGTAATGCCCTGTTCTAGGAAAAGGACTGTAAACGTGCCATGGGAATAACAAAGCGACATGTTGACCATACCATGGAATATGAAGGAATATAATTATAATTCTTTATACTAAAAGGTGTCACAAAAATAACTCAAAACAGTTTACGAAAGCCCAGAATAGCCAGATCTGAATGCACTACNTGAAGAACAGCCTTTGGCCATATTCGAGGTCATAAATGAACCATTGTCTGAAACTATGCATGCGCAGAACTGAAAGTGCGCGGCTTTGGAAATTTCGGAACTGAATCGGCTTCACGAGAAGATCAAAATGAACAAGGATGGCAGATTCAAGCCCACAAACCAGCTCTAACAGATTTCCGATAGATTTACTTCACAGTTAAATGCTCGCCTTTAAGTTGGCTTCGCTTTGTTACCTGTGATGATCTTCATCATATCTTCGCGACGTTCGCATCGATTGCATGAATAAAAAATAATCCTTTGTCTTTTCTATTATCCAACTATCATTAATCGATTCCACCTGCATTCTCTAGCTACAGTAGGAAATGCAAGCTTTCTGGGTCAACCTCTCTCAAGGAAGTTGATTATTCTTTCATTGGTCAGTTTCAGCGTTTGCTCTTTGTTTTGCGAAATGGCTGACCTCAGCGACCTACTGCGCATCAACACGTTTCTCGTATGCACACAGGGAACATGGTTGGATCGAACCACCGAGGATATGGTCATACAAAATTCTGAGATTACCCAGAAAAACGGGATTCGGCATTGAGAAGGCAGGAAATGACCTAATAAGCTACATTAACCAGTTTGTGTTGAGACAAAAGTCTATTTTTATTTTTTTATGTTCTGAGATTTTCTGTTTTATGGTTATACTTCGATCCACCGTTTGGTCCTTTGCGTTTTGCGATAAATACGAATCTTCAATACGGTCTATTTTGCTCACAAATTGAAGATCAGTTCGTTCTATAATCCTTCTGTTTCTTATAGTATTCCCTTTGGCGATGGTATTCCAGTTTCGGTGGTTGGTAGCTTTATTCGCGCACCAACTAATCGTGCACGCTCTTTTGGTCTGACAGATCTCTATCTGGTGCCCAAACCATAAGTAAAACTCATTGTCTCTTCTGTTTTATGCCAGACAACGATCCATAGTTTACGCACTTCAGCAAAACCAAAAAATACAAGCATACACCGTTACTTATCTTATAGAGTATTTTCGCCTCGTCATGATTTTTATGTCACGAATCCATGAATCATCGGCATAGTGAATAGAATTTTCAGTTGCGGGATGTTCTATGTAACATGTTCTATTTCCCGAGAAATCTCAAACAGTACCGACAAAATGACAGCTTCGGACAGATTCTCACAGGTTTGAACATTTTGATCAACTTGATCTTTCATTTGAAAGCTTCAAAATGTCCCGGTTACATTTTTGACGCTTCATATTTTCAGTATGTCTTGAAATCTCGATCCTCAAATCATTATTCAAAACCACCTCATATCACTAAATAGCATGATGTCACCATAGAGCACTATATATATTGCTCATTTCAGGTACCGAAGTCAGCTACATGAAGTTTCCGTCACGCAAATCGATGTGAGCGAAGTATTTCAATATATGCCCTTTTGTTTGGCAGAACACTGCACATGCTAATGTAGTGCTCCGTACACGACTTAAAAAAGGATTTCATTACTCTTCGCCACGGTTGGCCTATTATTAACCTTGTTTTTTTTATTCCCATGACCAATCCAGTTACATAACTGTATAATCGTTATACAACTTCACGGGAGAATTTCACCCACAAGATGCTAACGACCCCAGCCATCTGCCCAGTCCCTACCTCTCTGCTTGCCGTCGCCATGTCACGAAATAGTTGAAGTGCCTGTAGTCAGCATCCTATCCGAGGACTTTTACAGTTTAGCAGTAACCGTAGATTTTATCTTTGACACCCGTCACTTTTGTATCCTAGTGTAACGGTAAAGGAACGATTTCTGGCGGAATTGTACGCGTTGGTGCCTGCACGAGTCAATAGAGCGAGACACAATACAAAAGCAATGTGGAGGTTCAGCTGGCGAATTCAAACATAATAAATTTGTGAAAGCTGTACAATTTGGTCGAGCTAGTTCATTGTAAATTCAAACACAAAATTATACGAGCAATAAACAGAATCATCAAAGGACAGGTTGAATCCGACTGTTTGGCAGTAGCTCTTCAGCTGTGTACAACCATCCATGTGAAAGTTCAATCAAAATTTCGCAAAAGTCTTAAACATAAAACTCACTTCATTAGGCACAATCTATGCAAAGTTCAAAGGTCGCCAGTTACACTGGTGTTTGAGAAAGGGAGAGCACAGGTGTTGATCGGATGGAAGGGGGTAGCCCCCTCACTCTATGACCAGACTAGTCATATAATCTAATTCATTGCGAGGTCCAATTAGCGAACCCCATCTTCTGTTGACTTGGCACCCCAAATATCTGTTGTGGGTTGATGCAAATTTTACATTTCAGTAAGTGGTACAAAATCCCTCTAGGTGGGATGTTCGTGTCATTCAACACTGAATTACTCTGGACTTGTTCTTAGGGCCTTAGCAACAACCTTCTCTCATTTCTTCTGATACGCTTGCTACTACAAACACAATATCAAATACAGATACACGACGAAGTAACTTTGGAGTTCGGCTTGTCTAAATTAGATTCAACAATCATTCGTCTGATTTTATAGAGCAAAGTTAACAAACTGGTATGGTATATCCTTGAAAAAGCTTCGTTCGGACCATAATTTGTTAGTGCCCCACGGTGATCACTTTTAATAGATTTCGTGACGAGAATACCCTTCTTTATCATAAAGTTTTTCGTGGCTCTAGTCTCCATCACATTGCTGTGCTCTACGATAAATGTCCGCGGGTTTCCTTTGTCCTCAAGTGCTCAACAACATGCACATTCTCTCATGTAACCGTTTTGTGCAATTGAAGCGTGAGTGGTCTCCTTTGAACTTAGCATAGATTGCGTCTAGTAGAGTGACTTTTGTGTTCAAAGACTTTTCCGTATTCTGATTGAACTTCACACGGATGGTTTTACCCAACTGAAGAGCTACTGCCAAACAGTTGGATTCAACCTGTCCTAAGATGATAATTGTTCTTCATCGAATGGAAATCTTATATGTTTAAAATAAGTGATTCATTCTCAGAGAAAAATTAGTTTTATGAATCGTAGACCGAGTTTGGAGTTTCTTACAAAGATGGATTTTATTTGAAACAACGTTCTTTGGTGCGGTCAAAGTGCCACCGTGGACCTCATTAATATATTGCTAGAAAGCAGCCGGTTGAGGTTGTGAAAATAGAAAAAACTCAGAGATTCTTTTTCTGAGTTATTCTCAATAAAGGTTCTGAAAGCACCGCTCCTATGAATGCAACTGAACAAAAATCAAAAATTCCGATTTCTACACTTATTCCTCGACCATTTGATGGAGTATGCGGGCATGTCAATAGCCAACTATGCATTGCTGTGGAACATCAAATCATAACACGAAGAAAAGGGATAGAATGAGAGAGTGAACGACTTTACGCGTTAATCACCATTGCGACGTCAGACTATTCACCTTGGCTATACTTTTCAAAACTATTCATGGGAACTATTGGTTTTTCAGTACAATTGATAATTTCAGTGAACCCGGTGGTTTACATAACCATAAAGATATTTTTAGCCCAATACCACGTTTTCTCTCGAATATACCTGCTGTCCGAACAATAATGTGATAGATTCAATGGTACTTGTTGTTCACCTGCACCGGCCTCGATTCGGCAGACACTGCGATTCGCTTATGAACTTGTTTGTGGAAGAAAAATGCGCGCGCATTCAGCTCCTGGCCTAAATTTTGCTGTTTTTTGACCAGTTAACAAAGAGTTAAATAACCTGATATGGGATTCTACGAACACAGAAACGTAATCCACAATCGATTGTGTGAACGTGTCTTGTGAGACTTTTCTATTAAAATCTCAGCATGAATCCCCAAAACAGACAAAATAACTTCCTACCAACTTCATGGATCGTATGAAATTTTGCACTTTTAGGATTTAAGCCTCCCAATGAGCAAGCTAAATTTTAAAAATGCATGATAGTCTTCAGTGTTAAGCGCAGCTGATCTAGCGTCGCATGTATTGTTCCCGACGAAAGTACTGAGTAGCACTAATCAAGAATTGCACACCGATAGCTGTCCCAATTCACAAGTGATTATCTGTGTTGGGTCATAGCCAAAGAAGTAGTTGATAAACGGGCAGAAAACAAAACTTATCCTGTCGCCAATACCGACCGCTTTTTGTTATTGTTTTTGATGTCACCGTGCACCAGAAAGAATAACTGCGATCATAAGAAACGTTTAGTTTCAGCGAATGTAAATTAGGTAGGCAAATTCGTTTTTGCATTATCCCTGGTATATATGAGTTCCAAGCTTCGAATAAGAAAACATTTGGTTTGCTTAATACAGAAAGTATGATGCTGCGAACTGAATGGACACGAAATCAAATTAAGGAGAGATGCGTATAATGTAATACGAATGTGCCAGGTGGTTACGATTTGACCTTGAACCAAGAAGGGGTTAACAATATAGACAGTGGACAATGCGCATGGGCGTTTCTAAAAGTTTGTTCAAGTTTGAAAACTACAGCACTGTACAGGGAATAAAAGAAACACATCACTGCATTTTTCGAGTGAAATTGAGAATATTAGTCCAAATGAGCGGAAACACCACGCAATCCCTAATTGCATGATTTCAACGCGGAGAAGACAACGCCCACCACCTATTGATTGCGCGCAAGATCTCATGCGCGGACATGGGCAACCAGTTTTGTGATCTTTGTTCCGTCACAATTTTACCTAAATTCCGCCCAACTTCTTATAGTTCGAATTCTTGGTAAATTTCGAGCACTGTCCCGTCTAAGCCATGATGCCACTGTTCATGTTTTCGTGCCATTGTCTTAACATTTCACCAGAAAAATAGGGTTTTCCGAATCCGTTATATAGATCGGTCAGATTCAAACTACTCAGTATTTTAACTGACGGTGGCTGACGAAGCACCTTACTGATAGTAAGCAGTTTATTCGGCTTCAGGCCGAAGTTCCTTATTACTGTGGTCTGATAACGGTGTACTACAAATAGCGAAATCCTCTCTCATTTGATAATTCGCTCATTTCAAAAAGTTTGAAACGCACAAACCGGTTTATCACTTCTCTTGAACTGGTCTGATTGTTGTAATTGGCGTTGGAATATTGCTACGTGCTCAGATGTTCCCATCTTTTCCTTATACCAATTGAAAAATACGATCAGCTGTTTGAATTTAACCCCGGGTTGTACTTTTCCATTAGTTCCTACAACATTGAATATCAGATATCCTGATGCAACTGCAAAACCCCAAACCCACGTGAACAGGTCAAATGACTGCAGCTTTCACAAAATTCACAAGATTATCATTTAATGGTTCCCCCTTCGGAATGTTGTTTAGTTAGTGAAGAATTTCATCGATACACAACGCAAGGCTGGAAACAAAAGAAAGACGATCCAGGAATCATTTCGGTAAACACGATACAGAACCGGTGCCGCCGTACGATTGTGTAACACAAACAAGGTCACATATAAACATCTTGGAGGAGAACCCAATGTTATCAGTACAGAAAAAAGCACGTATATGCACACAAGCATACACTCAGAAGTAGAAGCGCACGCGTGTCCGTGTATATGTGCTAAAAATCATCTCCACCCCGGCGATTTTGGATCAGACGCGATGGACAAACCAACTATGTTCAAAAGCTTGGGGTTCAGTGGATCACTAACTCATTCTGCTCGTCTCATCGTATAAGGAAACAATTGTTGGGGCTGCGGATCCAGAAATACCTCAGAAATTGTTCTCCTCTGTATCTACCTATCTTTTGCAGCATTCGGCAAACTGCTTGTAATGATAATTTACTTTCAATTATTCTAGATATAACCTTATGCGTTGAAACTGTACTTTAAGCTCGATGTCCAAATATATTTACCGTGAAAACAAGCAGCATTATGATGGCCGCAAGTCAAGTGATCAGCGAAATGCCATCGCGATGAGTATGCGCCTTCGAACAAACGTAGTGCAAGTAGTCATAGAAACTAGACGATACAGCATATCTCGGCTTTCCTAAATGTCTCTCCGAGATTTCCGGAGTTAACTCTTTCAAATGCACATCTTCGTAACAAAGAGCTTTCTTTTGCACTCTCCAAGATATTATTTGTGAAAGAATCACTTTGAACAGATTTTACAATATTGCAGCTGAACAGTTCCTTCTTAGTCAGAGAAGAAAATGTCATTGATTAGACATGACAGTCCTTTGTCCCTCTACTTATTTCCAAAAAATAACCCCACTGCACATTCCCTTTAATCAACTATATGTATATATATATATTTACTACATATATATATATATATTTACTATATTTACTATGGGTAACCCCAGTAGGTAATGGACCATATTACAAAATAACAGACGTGCTTTATAGTAGGACTGTGAATTAAGGCAAGGCAGTAAACACAACTTGTGCAACATGCAACCGGAATGAAGAACGTCTGCACTATCAACCGTTTTTCGTCAAAACTGATTCAATAATTTGTGTATTGTGATAGAAACAAAATAAAAAAATGTGGTCGTAAGTTCGAGAAAAGTAAACCAAGGTTCGGAATAGTGTGCGTTTATGAATGACGAACTGGCAGACCTTGTTCTTTTTGTTTACGATGAAAGAATGGTCCCAAAACATTCCACCTACCAGCACTGAATGTATCTACTGCGGATAACGATGCTTGTAAAAATCAGAATGGATAGTCAGGAAAAATGACTCTCAAAGGAAATCCAAGTTAGAAAGTCCTCCAAAAAGATAAATGGTTTGCTCGTGTACTCAGATGATTCTTTTTAAAATGCAGGGCATGTAAAATTTATTCACTCAGAAGAAATCAATGGAAGCCCAGCTCTGAAGGCTTATTACGCTTCCATGTATAGTTTAACCTTTGGCTTTACTTTGCTTTGCTTCGGTCCTGGTGGCCAGGGTGTTCAGTTCATTCAGTATGAATTCCGAAATCTCTCTTGACCTTGTCGAATGAGTGAGGGTTTTCACAGCTGTGTTACGGATGAAATGTCCGCTCTATGCCCAGAGCGAATCTCCAATAGTTTTCTCGGGGATTTGGTACCACTTCATTAACTGCCTCAGCCTACAAATTTTGGCTCTCTCTCGAGGGTTTTGCACCAGAATAAGACAAACTATGAGTTGTTTAGATGGAAAAATAAAAGCCACCTTTTGAACGACGATTGACGTCTGTTACAACCCGTTTTGCTGTACAAAGAACGGGACTGAGTTATTTGTCCAGAGGTCGGTAAATACTCACTATGAACATTAAGAGACAAATGAGAGACATTTAGTTCTACAATGATAAGGAGCGATACACTGCTTTGAAAGAAGCTCAATACCAACTGTAACCCAAGTGGATAACTTTGAAGCTATGAGGACTGTTATTCAATCGTGTAAAATAATTATTGTACTTTGTTTTAGAGAAAAAGATATTTAGGATTTACTTTTCTGGATATTGTGTAGAAAACGTCATAAGTGATCGATTCAAGAAGGCACAGCACAACTGCGACATCCTTTCGGAGACTTTTCNAGACTTTTCAGCAGTGAGTCCGATTATCCCTGTCAACACTGGATTAACGAATGTCTGAAGTGATTCGAGGCCTTGGCTTGAATTTAGTTAATATTATGAATATTTAAAACAGATGCCGAAGAAACAAAACCAGCCTTCTGTAAATACTTTCTACCAAATACACTGCATACACTACGTAAGGAACGGGATAGAAAAGTATCGTGCAGGACATTTTTAACTCGGGCTCTCTTTGGTTCCAATCGATTCCGACAACAGTTTGTTTGAAAGAACCTTCTTCAATATCCTAGGCAATCGTGATTGGATCCGGTCAATATTCATCCATTTCCACAGCATTAATGTGCCTGAATGCTTAATTAGATGACCCTATTTAAGTTGGAGTCTTTTAAGTACAAGTTATTTGAGTAATAAAGGAAAACTGCCACACACGGCCCCCAAGAAAAACGGTTCAGTCACCAATGTGTGACCTTGTTTTGAGAAATGAGCCCACCACAGGCAATAACCCTTTTTCTATATCTATAGATTTCACTTGACTTTCCCAAATACGTGTGTTTATATAATTGGAATGGCGGAAAATTTGGATGCAATCACAATCAGCACGAGAAGTTTCGAATCACGTACACTAAAACACCAAATCAATGTACTTACCCGTGTTCTTTGTGAACCAGTCTCTTTAAATCGTTTTTGTGTAAAACCGGACTGATCAGAAGTTGCACGCGTCAATGAGTTCGATGTCACGCGGTTCGTGAATGAATCTGGCTCCGGTGAGGTAAACGTTTGGGTGTTTGGTTTGACGACCCGGTCACTGGACAATGTCTCACTTGAGTATTTCAGAGTAATGGTTGTAGGTTTACTCCTACCAGATTTGGGAGAGGACTCGCCCAGATCCGTGTCAGAACGATCAATTGAATGACAATTTGACAATCTGGCTGGATGCAAATTAATGGGTCTAACAGCCGGGACAAGTGTTGGACCTCGTCGTTCCGGTTTAGGTACTGAACCCTTACGATTGATCCTACTCTCAGCCGGAAGGAATTTTCCGTTCGAATTTTGTTGTAACGTTTCTATGACCTTATCAATATCGGCTATATCGACCGTGCATGAACTGGCTATTGGTAAGTGCGGCCGTGTTGCAAATGATCTTACTTCCATTCGAGGCCAGCTAGGACTAGATGGTATGGAAGGATGCCATTCCATGATTTCTTTAAAACGATCGTTGATTCCATCTTCATCATCCTTGCCTAACATCGGTGAATTGAGTAACGGTTGAACTTCAATCGATTCGCATGCTGTGTGACGTCTGCCGGAATTATTGGGTGGTTTGCGAATTTGTGGGAGAGAATCCGACAGAATTGTGTTTGAACCTTGTGAACCGTGGAGATTCATGCCCCTACGACCCACATTTGGAAGACTTCCCTCGGCACGTTTTTGTCGCGCTGCGTTGAAATGTTTCAATAAGTTCAGATCACCATGGGATCCGTGATAGTCTCCGGCTCGTGAGTCGCCCGGATGATGCTTGCGTCCTACTCGGATTGGACGTAGTAGATGATGATGATGATGGTGATGCGACTCGAGTGCGTGATCATGCTCATCGGAATGCTCAATCAGTGATCGATGTTTGATACTCAGCTCGGCCATACTGGAACGGCGACTGGTCTCGTCATCCGGGGTCTTTGAATCCGATCGTTTCAGGCGGAAACGTCGACCCACTCCCTGCTTGCCTGGGCGCATTAAGTGCAAATGCAATGGATTTCGGGAGTGATATGATTCTTCCATATTAGTACTTCTTTCCGAATAGGCCGACGATGGTAAACGACCCTGAAATAGATCAACAGGCCATATGATAACTGTATTCTGAATTCTGGCATCTAGTAAAATTACTTGCAGTGACAAATAAATTGGCATGAAACGCCATTTCCATTGGCATATTCACAACTTACCGTTATCACGTAAAGACACTCTATTAGGTGTCTTTGCTGCAACGCGATTACATCATCGTAACACATTGGCTGCTTCTCATGACTTTGGTTTGTGCGGCGTTTGCGCGTCTGTGATCCGTAACTGGAGTGATCATTCCTTCCGTGGTGATTTCCGGCTTGACTGTAAGTGGTTATGGAGGAATCACTGGCAGGCACAATTCCCCGGGACATCGATCCATTTGGGTCCTGTGGCTTCCGAGCCGAATCATTCGGCAAAGAAGTGGTCTGTCTGAACTCCGAAATCTTCTTC